TGGCATTTCTTAAGCTAAAGGAACTAAAGAACAGCTTCAAGCCATGAATTAGAATACTTTGGGCACTATGGGCAGAATATTGAATGATATAGGAAACATTAAAAGAGGATGGAAGGCGTATATAGAGTCACTGTACCAAAAAGAATTGGTTGACACAGGAGAATTTTATGAAACAACATATGATCAAGAGACAATGGTGGTAAAAGAGGAAGTGCAGGCTACTTGAAGGACTTGGCAAAAAAAAAAAAAAAATAAGGCCCCAGGACTTGATGGAATGCCAGTTGACATATTTCACCAAGCAGATGCTGCCCTGGACGTGCTCTCCAGGTTGTGCCAAGCAATCTGGAGGACAACTACCTGGCCAAATTACTGGAAGAGATCTGTATTTATTCCCATTCCAAAATAAGGTGACCTGACAGAGTGTGAAGATTATTGAACATTATCACTAATAGCACACGCAAGCAAAATCTTGCCTGAAGATCATCCCAAAATGAATGGAACAATACATTGACAAGAGAACTACCAGAAATACAAGCTGGGTTTAGAAGAGTTTGTAGTACTAGAGATATTATCACCAGTGTCAGATGGATCTTGGCAGAAAGCAGACAATACCAAAGGAGTGTCTATCTGAGTTTCATTGACTACAGCAAAGGCATTTGACTGTGTGGATCACAACAAACTGTGGCTAACTCTGAGAAGAGGGGGAATCCAAGAACACTTGGTTGTTTTTATGCAAAATCTATACTTGGATCAGGAGGCAGTTTTCAGAACAGAACAAGGTAAGAGTGCATGATTCAAAATCAGAAAAGGAGTGTATCGGTGATGTGACCTGTCTCCATACCTTTCAATCTATATACAGAAGAGACAATTTAAGAGACTGGGCTTTATGAAGAGGATGTAGAATCAGGATTGAAATGATTGTAAAGAATGTCCCCTGAGTCAGGTGCACCTTAGTTTTCAGACTGGCATAATTGCTTCTCAGTAATTTGGAGAGGTCTCTGACATTTAAATTTCTCAAGGCATTATGTCTTCTGATCTGGCTGCTGATACCATGAGTATTTATAGAAGAGATTAATCTCTGAAGCATTCATTATTTGGCCTCTTTTGGTTGTAAAATATGCTTTCACATGTTTTTTTTGTTGCATGAATGAAGATTTTATCACATTTGAAATTTTAAAAAGTTATGTGATTCTCATTTTAAGAAAAGGTAGAAAATGTAAGACTATTTTAACAGCATGGTTTTTCTTCTTTATAAGAAAAAGACCAATATTTGCCCTTTTGTCAGTCCCTTTTTTAAAAAAATTATTTTTTAAAATAATTATTTTTTAAAAACTTTTATTATTTTTTGTGTATGTACCGTAAAATCAGATCTGACTGGTACAGGAGGAGATTATCCCTCCTTCTCCAGAAGAGCATCTGTTGGATTCAAACCATGCACTTTTGGGATTGCAGTGCAGCTTCTTTGCCCCTAGGCCACCAGAGCTCCCTTGTTAGTCCCTTTAAAAAAATAAACCACTTTGGGTTTAGTAATGTAGTTATTGAGCTCCAATTATTTAAGTAACTTTTTCTAATGTATTGACAGTTTGAAAGTTACTACAAAAATCTTAAAATCAATATTTTCCATATTCTAGCATTTCTAAAACAGTGTTGTAATTTTCCTTTGTATTCTATTGTATGTGTTTAGATGTTATACAATTATCTGAGGGATTTTTCTCCATATAATGTATGCCTAAATACATTTTTACTTTTATTGCATAGTTATCCTCATGGTCAGTTGTGATTTCATTTTTAAAGTTTAAAACATTCTGTCTTACTTTTCTTTTTAGAAAATAGTTGGTATGTAGTTTAAGCACAGGAGTAAAAATTTTCAGTTTGAATTGTTATGCCTTATAAAGCAAGATGTTATTTACTTCTTATAAGCTTATTTTAAAAACAATCTTTTGATAGGTCCTGAAAAACTGTCAACATTTTTGAAATGACAAAATGTAGAGAATATATCTCTTTTTAATTTTATTTACTATAATTGTTAAATTATTATATATTTTAAAATGTAGATATATTTAAACATCAATTACTGATTTATTAATTTTTTTAAAGAATAAAGTTTCTTAATTTTAACTAGAGTGATGTTTAATGAATAAATTGGTAATTCATAGCTGAACTGTGATGGTAAGACACCATTTTATAAGTTATTGATTTAATGTTGGTAAAAGCTTCACTGTTGTGGGGGGGGGAAGAAACCTACCTCTGAGTTTGTGCAGATGTTTTATTGTGATAGATCTATTATCCAGCTATTAGAAGATAAATGACTGATCTTTCCCATTTTCCATGCCTCTAGAAAATTGAAATAAGAAGGGGAATATCATTTGGGTTGTATGATTAGGGCAGGCTGGATGGCCATTAATTTAAGAGAAGAAAATCTTGGCAGCATTGGCCAACTTATACCATATTATCAATCAAACCTTGATGCACTTCTTGTGATGACCCAGCACTCTCAGGTTTTTGCAACGTTAATTAGAATTCATGACAAAATAGATGCAAGGAAACGTTTTGTACCCTTCATAATTTTATAGAAAATTTATTGTTATTAGAGGAACCATTTGCTTAGTGTGATTTTTTTCATTACCAGCTTGTCAACTAGCATAGATAATCTGGAGAAAATATGAACTCCATAGATGGGGTGTCACTTTTGTTGATGGTTCATGTAGTTTACCTTGGAGCACAGCTAATGGCTGAAGTTCATAGCAACAGCACAGAAAAACGTGGCAACCAAGGGAAGATAAATGAGCCATGTTTATTGCTTTAATATAAAAAATACATAAATGGAAAACTGCATTTGAATTTGATGAGCTCATTGCTAGTTTTGTTTGAGTGATTTATTTTCCCCCTTACATAAAAAGCTAGTATTGACACAGTGAAATGGAAATTTACTATCTGCTTTTTAGGAACCAATATTTTTGGTTTTAAAAACAAAGTAGATAATTTTATTTTAATTTTGAACATTTTAAACAATGTTTAACATTTAATAGATTAAAATTTTTGGTTCTTCTGCCAGTGTTAGCTCAGAGTCAGTCTGTTAAAACTATACAATTACGTTTCTAAAAACTGGTCCATTTTATTTTGTAAAGGTATTTCTTTACATTCTTCTGATTTTTTTTCCTTTTAACTTTTATTTGTATTTGAATAATTCAGTATTTCCTGTGTTTTCTGATTTTTGTCTTAATACTTTGTTAGTACTTTCAAATTGTTACACCCCTCTCTGCTTAAAATTTCATATCAGGTTGTAGCTTTGTTAAGGATGTATTCTTAATTGTGAATACATTTGAAAAAATTGGATTTCTACAGTTAAGCAGAATAACTTGATTTTATTTAGTATATATTTTTAAGTTTTAAAAACTATTTTTAGTTGCATGGATTATCTTATTCTCAATTGCATTATTAAATTTTCTATATTAGCATTCTTTCTGGTTTATATCACAAATACTAAGCTGTTTTTATAGTAGATATAATTTTTAAATAGTAATAATTGTAACCAGGTTACCACAGACTTTATAATATTGAAGAGTGATTTGTGGAGAAGGTATCTAAATGTAGGGTTGAAAATGTCATCTTAACTTTCTTTCCATATCAATAGCAAATAGAAATTATATGTATAATACATTTTTATTTAGCTCACAAAAATAATCATGTCTTTGCTGTCTCAATTGAGTTGCATCCATGCTGGGACCAGCAGGCACCAGTACATGGGCAGGGCTGGAGTCAATAAATGCGGCTTCACGTTTATACTGATTGGTAATTCATAAAATCCCCACAGGGCTTGAAACTTGTTTAGCATAATAGCAAGTCTATATTCTGAGCTGTTTTCTTTCAATTGTATTGTTGGTTGCATATTAATAAACTAAATGTCAGCCAAGTAGAGGGACAAACTCTAAAAATATGAATATCATTGTACCTAATATTTTTCAAAAAGTACCATTTCAGTAAGTTATATTTCTATTTAATTGCTTATTTGAGTCATTGGGGAACTTTTAGACACTAAAATGAAGATCCTTGGTGTTCAGGAAGAATATAGAATTAATTTGTTTTTCAAACCTGTATTGTTGACTAAATATGTATCAGTGGTGTGTATATAGAAGTGTTAGTATATTATATATTCTGCTGAGCTTGTGGTTTTATATAAGCAAAATCTTAATTTCACTGCTTTTTAAAAACATAACAGTTTTAAAAATTGCATTTCTATTTCATTATATAGTCTTGGAGAAAACTGACTTTTCTTGGTAATATTTTATACACATTATATACATAAGTAAGATATATATGATACACGTTATATTTATAAGTGATAGTTACTAACATTTTAGCTACTATGTTCTTTGTAAATTAACTATAGTAGTTCATTAAAATTAATAAAATTTAATAATAAAAAAATGAACTATAGTAGTATAAACAATAGCTGGATTAAAACATTTTAAGATTTGAAAGTGTTTTTATGTTTAAAATATGTATAGCTTTTTCCATATACTGTGCATACTAAGATAAGTTGATTGTGTAATTGAATTGCCAGCCTCAAACTTAGAGAAGGTGATCTGATTATTTTCTTGATTTATTTTTTCACTGAATATTATTATATACTATGTAATAAATCTTTAGATTAGAATTGAGGCTAGCTTAAAAAATGGAAAATATACAAGGTTAATTTATCTAATTCATATATGTGCAGTTTATTGAAATTGAACCAGATATGAAAAAAATGGAAATTAACCACCCTTTAGAATAGTGTTAATTATGAACATGTTATAGATATTAAAATATTCTTTAATGGGGTTATACTTTTAGAATGTATTTATTTTTCAAGTGGAAGCAGTCATTTTCATCAAATGATGAAGTGTTTTAACTATTGATTGTTATAAAGCTGATTACCCTAATAGAATGCCTGAATAGACTTTTTCTTTAATGAGGTGACAGTTTTTTTAATGAGTTAATATTTCTTTTGTTTTTAGCTGGTAGCTGGCAGTGTTGTGATGGCTTTTGAAGAAGTATGTCCCGATAGAATAGATCTGATTCACAAGAATTATCGCAAATTATGTAATTTGCTAGTGGATGTAGAAGAGTGGGGCCAGGTTGTCATAATCCACATGCTAACTCGATATGCTCGTACACAATTTGTCAGTCCTTGGAAAGAGGTAAGTGTGCAAAAATCTTAACACTTAATAAAAGAAACTAAGGAAATGGATGAAATTAAAAATTATGTAAAACAGTTGAGTAATAAAATACTGAAATCTGCATATGTCAGGGTTCATTTTTATCACATCCTTTTGGAAAAGTAGAGAACAAATAACAAAAGTAGTTCACTGTTTAGGCACTGATTAATACATAATTAGTGGCATAATAGATAATATTTTAGTGTGACAGTGTTTACAATATCATTACCAAACCATGGATGTTTCTCCCCCTTTACTAATGAGTTTCATGGGAGCTCTGGTGGTCTGGCAGTAAAGAATTGTGCTGTCAACCCAAAGGCACGTAGTTCAGATCCACCAGCTGCTCAGAGGGAGAAAACCATGACGTGTTCTCCTGTGTGAGTGCTTTTGTAAAGGGTCAGCTGTGAGGTGTTTCTGACATAATGACAACCACTGCCCTCACAGTGACTTTTGGGCTTCAATGTTCTGTCCACATTTCTGAACCCCACCTATTTTAGGCCTTTTGTCAAAAGCAGGTAATATGTTTGTGTAGCATCGAGGCTTATACTAAGCTTGGTAATTTCTTGCTTTTATAACATAAATTTCTGAAGCTTTAAAGCTAAAGTATTTTAAAATACTTTTTCCTGGTTTTATAGTTTTTTTAGACATTTATATTTTATTTAATTTTAATAAGATTAATAGTTAAGTATTTGTTAAAGTGTCTTGGGGTGTTTGATTGTGTCCCCCCCCCAAAAGATATTTGGTTCTTTTTAGTTTTTGAGCAATCTATATAACTTTAATTTTATACAAAGTTTGAATAGAAATCTCTTAGGATTTATATATTTATGATTTAAGTATAAGGTTTAAATCTATTTTAAATAAATTAAGGACAACGTATTATAAGACTAGCAAATTAATTTTAATAGTGTGATATTTGCATTTTTAACAAGCAATATTAAGAAAACTTTATAAAGTATGTTTTGCAAAAAACAGAAGTCCAAAAAACTCTCACCATCCAGTTGTGTCAAAGTAGTTTGTACCCAAGTATATGCATAGGACTTGAGTACTCAGTACACTTTAGATGCTTTTGTTAAACAGAAATAAAATTTAAGTGAGGGGGGGAATTGTAAAAAAAAATGTTCGTAAGACTTGCTCTGATGCCAGGCTTTTAAGTAAGTATGAAATAGATTTCAGGGTTATATTTAGTATTATACTGATACTAAAAATGATTTTAGGTTTTTTAATCCAAATAGCTTATTAAAAAGAATTTTTGAAATATTGTTCTAATTTTGATAGCAAGAAAGTGAGCAAGCTATTTGAAAAAAAATGGCATACATTTTGAGCCTTGTTTAAATTATTAGTATGCAAGCTGTTATGTGTTCTTAAATTGTTGAAATTTTACCATTCATATGTGGTATTTTATACATGTTTATACATTTTATATATGTTTATTTTTATTAATATTTTACAAATACAATTTTTTATTATATAGTTGATGCTCTTTTTGGCTAGATGTCTCTGTTGAAAATACTTTTGATGGAGCCTGGACAAGAGATTTTTATTATTAACTTATTTATTTTATTTCAGCAAGTTATTTTCAAATATGTTACTCATAGCTCCCCCCCTACCTGTTATGTAAAGGTTTTTAATTGTGGCTTATTTAACCACTCTCACTAATTAAAAGTTTTGTTTTACTTTTCTGTTATTAGAAAATAATTTCACTGCCTTTATGTAAGAAATCCTTTGTTTCATCTTTGTGTAGAAATTGGAGCTAAAATATATGCTGTCTTTACCAATTTTTAAAATAAACAAGACATTAAAATATCCACTTGTTTTTTTGTTTTAAAAAAATTTTAGTTTTAAATAAAACAAATTTTTAAAGCTTTGTGCAAGAGCAAAGAAGATGAATTCTACACAACTGTATTAATTTATTATTTTGAGATGAAATTTGAAGTATTGGCACTGTATGACTTCTTTGTGTGTTTTTATGTGTTAACTTTGTGAACACTATTAACAACATGAGATGCAGTCCGATTATTTCCCCTAGCACTGGAGTTGGACTAAATCATTACTGTCTTTACCACTTAGATGCATTCTGACCTGGGTATTATTCTAAATGATGGGTTATTAGCCTAATTCAAATTGTTTTCAATGCTTGTGTTGCTTTTCTAATTTCATGTTGCCCAAGATGCTATTGTCCCACCAAAGAAATGGCCAGGTTTGGTGATGGTCCACCAGAGTGTACAGTTTTGTAGTTTCAGGCATTGACTTTACTTGCTATTCATATGCAAAGTATATACTTAATCTTGGAGTGAAATACTTACAAGGGGACAAAACCCCTTAAATAGATGATTTGTCCAAGCATACTTTATTAAAAAAATTTTCTGTGTGTGTTCTGTGCAGTCCTTCATTTACATTATATTTCGTTCATTTATATTGTGGACTGGTTTTGTTTTTTCCTTTACAATGAATCCACCAGCAGCTACTTTCGTGAAAGTGTAAAAGCGTACATGTAAAAAAATTTAAATTGTAAAAGCAGTGTAAACAAAACACATGGTGAGATTAAAACAAAATAGGCTGGTCGAGCGGTGAGGCGTGCATTGGCCGAGGGGCGTCCCTCATTGGTGGCCATGCCCCCCGCAAAAAAAACAAAACAAAAAAACCACCACAAAATAAAAGTCATCTTTGTAATAACAATCCTTAGACTGATGACTTGGAGACAATAATTATCGACTTATTTATTTATTAGCTGCCTATGATATGAATGGACTCGAATTCATAGAAAAATTATTCTTGGATGGTTTAATTTCTAGTTGACAATTTTGGTTAGTTCCTATAAATAATCAAGGTAGGTGCCTATATACCTGTATGTATGTATGTGTCTGTGTATTCTATTTGGTACTAAACATACAAAAAAGTATTAAAAAGGTAGATCATCAACATTTGGACCATGTTCATGCTCACTTTTTCAGCTAGCCACTCTTAAACTTTTTTTTAACGGAGAAATTTTTCCTCCATGATTATGGGGTTTATTAGGGAATTAATACATTACAATTTAGGGCAGAAAGACTTAGTATCCGGTTCAGTTCTTGCAGGACAGTGTCTTCACAAGTTTGCATTCAAACAAGCCTCCTTGTAACCTTCACCTTTGCTGACTGTCTCTGGACTAGGCCAGTGTTACAAAACACTTTTAGTTCTACTGTTTAAGGTGTCTTGTCTCTTGACTTCATGGAGCAGCAGTTATCATTCCTCTCTCTCACACACACCAGCCTCTGGCACTCCTCCATCACTTCTGTTGCTGATCGGCTGGTGTAGGTTTCTGTGTCGTTCAGGAATCTCTGGCCCAAAAAGAATGTGTTGTAGTCTCTACTTTTTCTTTCTTGATAGGAGCAAGATTCCCTTTAATGAAACTTTTCATCGAGCTGTCCTGCCTTTGGTAGGTTTCTGGGCTTTTTGACCTAGACGAGAAGTTACCTAGCAATTATATCTGCTTCCTTGTCTCAAATCTTATGTTGTTACAAGCATATCAAGTAGTGAAGCAAGGTTAGTATTATTTTAGACTGGGATGACAATAGACAGTCTCCTCTCATGTGATTTATTGTCTCCAAAAACCTTCAGAAGAGTCAGCTGTGAGTTGATTCCCACTCAAAGGTACAAAACAACAACAATAGGAACAACAAGCACAATAGTGCTTTAGAAGAATCAGTCAGTGTTGAGTTGCTAGAATCGTCTTTTGTTTTGTAAAATCAACGGAGAAGAAAGATCTTTATTCTGGCTCTTCCCAAAATTAAGATTTCCTTTGTTATCCAGGTAGAAGTCACTTGCATAAATGCTGTATGAATACTACTACTTGAGAAATTAACCTTGAAGCAAAATAAATCATGAATTGGGAAAAGACCAATAAAATAATATTTTGACTTAATGTTGGTGTGTACTGTCAAGTTGGAACCCATGCATAGCTGACCCTCCAGAAGATTTTGACGCAATAAATCACATAGGAGAAGATTGCTCCTAGATACACAGAGCAAGCACCTAGTAGATACAAACTGTATCTTTGGGTTGGCAGCACAACTTAAAAAGTTAACATTCAATGAAATAAAGTGTCTCAGTTACTAAGAGAAAATGCTTTGCAATTTATTATTTTGTAAACGTATGTAACATTTTGAGATATGGCATTGTTAATTATGTTAGAGATAAAGAAATGAAAACAGTTTAAACAACTCATCTAAGTGGTTATAAAAAGTAAAATCAAAATATAAACAAAACAGGTAATTGTTTTTTCTTTGATACTCTTACTACTTTGTGACTTTTAATTAAAAAATGAAAAGTGTTTGTGGTTACCTTACTAAGTTCCATATATTTACTGGTAGTGTTCATGTCACAGCTAATGTTGTGCTCAATAAGTAGTACTCAAACATTGCAATTAGAAAATGGCAATAACTATGATTAAATTTGCTTGTCAAAGAGGAAAATCATATGTTTCATTGAATTTTAAAGGTTTTTTTTGGTTGTTGTTGTTTATATGCTTGAAAGATAGCAAAATTGCTTTGGAGAGAAATGATATTAGTAGAAATACTCATTTTGAGATGAGCTCATGTACATGCTTGTGTCAATAAATTCTCAAATGAACACATCATATACAACAAGCTTCTGGGGCAGAAGAGAATTTTAATTTAGTTTATTTGCATCATTATAGATCAGTATTTAGGCTGTTTATATGTAAATGTGTGATTTGAGGAACAATTAAGTGTTGACAAAGTAGATTGCAGTCATATCAATTGCAGTGTATTTTCCATAATTTTTCTAACTGACATCTTTGATGATAAATAGTGGATGCCAAGTCAAAGCCGATTATACAGTGCACTAGGAATTCATGGGCCTGTCAGGGAGAAGACCGATTGACTTTGAATTTACATATTAATGAGAAGATTTGTTAAGAGGGTACTTGACTATAGAAAATAACAGCATATTTATAGGGCACGACATTTTATAAATAAAGCTGA